CTAACATACTTATGAAAAGGCAGCAGTTTATTCATGCAGTCTGCCAGAACAGAAAAAACCAACCAAGTCTGCAGTGAGGTCTTGGCTCCCAAGAGTAACAATATATATATTTATTTATATCTCTTCCATTTCCATGCTTTATATTTGTAACATGCTTTTTAGTTTAAATGCTCATTAAAATATTTAGTGTTGCAGATACACCCAATGCTAAGTTTACAGGTATTACCTGGAGGTGGTGAATGGGGAATTGAGAAGGACTGGTCCAGTGTGAGCCATGCCAGCTTGGTTTAAGGTCCCTAGGGCTGTCTGGAGCTGGATGGTGGGGGTGGATGGGGAGGTATGGAGAGATCCCTGATGCTGAAGGAGCTGCTGCTGAGCACAGGCCATGTGGTACTGCTGCACCTGTTCAGGGAAAGCAGGTAGATACTTATAGAAATGCTATTCTCCTGCTATAATGGAAGGGCCAAGCGGCTATCCATAACTGCTGATCCAGCAGAGTCGTGGTGAGTCTGGGGCCTCTTAAAGAGCACAGGCTATAAGGGAGGGGACCACCCTGGGTGGGAGGCCAGCTCACCACATGGCAAGCACACACACACACAAACACACACATCTTTGTGGGGACCCTCCATTTCACATCTATGGGGAAAACTCTAATCCCAACATGACAACCTTAACCCCTACCCAGCCCTAACCTTAACCATAAGTAAGCAAACAAAATACTTTTGGCATCTTTAGTTTTTTGATCGCATTCACAGATTTTTACAAAATCGAGCTTCCTCTTATGGGGACTGAAAGAAATGTCCCCACAAGATCAAAATAAGTATATTTGGTCCACAAAATATAATGCACATGCATGTGCGTGCACGCACACACACACACACACACACACGCACACACAATTTGCCATTTGGATTCATTGAATAAATACATGTTTTTGGACTGTGGGAGGAAACCCATGTGAGCACAAAGAGAAGATGCTTCCATTCCATTAAATGGCAACACAATGGCAGGATAGGCATGAAGAGCAGATGCTGCTTAGTCTTTTAGTGTAAAATTCTGTGTGTGGGTGTGTATGTGCTTTGTGATATACTGGCATCCCATCCAGAGTATATCCCAGCCCATGTGCCCTGTGCCGCCTGATTATATACAATGCTCTGAACCAATATCGAGCACAAGTACCAACTTAAATCTCTAACAACAACAACATATAACAGGATGAAAATATCTTTTATCAGGTAGTATAATGTGATTCATAGCCAAGAGTACAATTTTCAACTTCATTTGCCAAAGGATTATAAACTGTGCATTATAATACACTAAGGGTCTTTTTACTACTCTATATAAATCAGAATTATTATTATGAGAACAGAAAGGATATGGCATGTTCCAAATAGTGATGACTATTGTCCAAACCAGGCTTCATCTGCAATATGATTATGGGGCAAAATTCAGATGAGGCCCCCCCCCCCCCCCCCAAGTATAATTGCATCATACGTTATCATTTAACACAGATCATTGAACTCCTTTTTAACTGCCCTAGCAAACCGCATCAATGATTGACAGATGGTAACTGTTGGGAGGAAAATTAACTAAGATTATTGCCTTGACATCAAGAGGGAATTTACATTTGTATTTTTGCATGTGGTGCTGCAGGATGTTAACGGGATAGTAAAGATGATTGCTTAACAGTCACCCAGTAAATACCAGCATCCTAGTAAAAACTGTTCTGCACTATATTGGAAACAATCTCCAGTGAACATCAAAAGCACAAATGAATTTTTTTATTTCAGTATTTACAGAACAATAACAAGAGAGACGCAGCTCCCACACTTAATATAAACCGCATGCTTGCATCCTTACATTTCATCTGCAACCACCAACTGTGCAAAATGTAAGTCAAGACAGAATGCAATGATTTGCAAATCATATAAACCCACATTTCATTGAAAAGAGAACAAAGACAACATATCAAACACTGAAACTGAGAAATGTTATTGTTCTATGACAAATTTATGCTCAGTTTGAATTTCATACCAGTAATATGTTTCAAAAAAGTTGGAACGGCGCAAGAAAAGACTGGAAAAGTTGTGTAATGCTAAAACAAAACAGCTGGTTGAATATCTCACAACCAGTGAGGTTAATTGGCAACAGGTCAGTAAGATGATTGGGTATTAAGAGCCTCTGTGCAGTGAAGATGGGGAGATGTTCACCACTTTGTGAAAGACTGTGTGGGCAAATAGTGCAACATTTTAAGAGTAATGTTCCTCAATGTAACACTGCAAAGAATTTGGGCATCTCATCATCTATGGTACATAACATAATTAAAAGATTCAGAGAATCCGGAGAAATCTCTGTACCCAACTTTTCTGAAACATGTTGCTGGTATCGAATTCAAACTGAGCATATGTCCATCATATCTGTCAACAATAACATTTCTCATTTACACATTTCCTACGTTGTTTTTTCTTTTCTCAATTAAATATGGGTTTATATGATTTGTAAATCAAATCAGATTTGTGTCTCAACGTTTTTTGGAAACGGGCTTGTATCTTAGCCCATATCTGAATATTGAGCCTGCCAACCCTCTACGTCCCTCACCAAACTGACCGCTGAGTCTGGATAGTTTTAGTAACCAGAGCTGAGTTTTCTGACCCATCATGATTTACAGCCATGGCTCAAAGCCAAAAGGCCAGTCTTGTAAAAATGTGGCTCAGGTGGATTTTACCTTGGAACTTGTTTACCTTGAGAATAGCAACAAGGTTTTGGGAGCAATCTGACCACTGTTGCTGTAAAGATTAAGGTACAATGGCACGTCTTTACCTTAATTCAGGGTTCGGCACTTGGTTTCAAAGACAGGCCAGCGCTCAATAAGGGGTCAGTATAGTTTTACAAACACATGAAACTGCAGCTATATGTTTGAAATAAATTTAGTTTGAATAATGTTAACTGTTAAAATAAATATTATATTATCGGTGTCCATATCAGATAACATCTGTGAGATACCCTGTTAGATTTTTTTAAACAAAAACTAAAAAGGAAATCCTCTTTTAGGGGTCCAATTATTTAGCATTTTTCTAGGTGGCCCAGTTCAGGCCCGTAAGACTCCATTTGCTGACCTATGCCTTAAATCAGGGGTGTCCAATCTTATCCGCAAAGGGCCGGTGTGTATGCGGGTTTTCGCTGCAACTCCCTAATTAGATTACTAATTAGAGGACTAATTGGCTGAAGAGTCCTCACACCTGGGTTTGAACAGCTGACCAACAGGTTATCCCAAAAACCTGCGTACACACCGGCCCTTTGCGGATAAGATTGGACACCCCTGCCTTAAATGATTAGTTTGAAGCAGGTTCTACAGAAATTAAAAATCAGTTAACTGGAAGATACTGCTGCAGAGTGTGGCAGAATGTAAGAATTTAATTAAAATGTTAAACATTAAAAATCATACCCCAAGTACATTAACCACACTTCTCAAAATGTTCCCAACAAAGATTTCAATGTACATAGTGCTCTTCTAAAATAGTGTCACTACAGTGACAAGCCGCCAGTATATTATAGTTTTGATTTTTTTATTTATTTTAGTAGTTTAAATAGTTTTTATTTTAAAGAAACATTTGCATTTAGTTTTTTTTCTGTTTCTTTTTTAAATAAATTTTAGTTTCAGTAGGAACTGTAAAGCTGAACAGCTGCTGTACGTGTCTGATCTTTAGAGAATCCAGTGCGTAAACATGTACAGGCATGTTTAGTGGTGATTACGGATGAGCAAATTATTATTTAAGCTAAATAATATTTAAAAACGAACAGACAGTAATTGGTGTTTGTTTTTATTTTATTTCAGTTTCGAAAGCAATACTTATAGTTTTTTTTAGTTGTAGTGTTTTTATTTTATATTCGTTATTTCAGTTTACAAAAATATATTCATATTGTTTTAATTTTTGCTAACAATAATTACACTGCAGTAGTTGCAAGACTACTGCAGTGAAAAAAAGCAACTGAAATGTTAAATGGACTTTGTGTATAAGTGCTTACCAGGGACAGATCAAGAGTATGAAGTCTTCATGGGCAACAGCACACATGACATCAAGTCAGAAAGAAATTGAGCTGATTGCTCACAAACAGAAATGCATTGAACACGAAAATGTTAGAATGGCTTTTCAGTAAGTGCCATAGTACAACAACATACATTCATATTAAATATATTAGATAGTAAATCACATAAGCTCATTGAAAGACATTTGTGAATGGGACGGGGGGGGGGGGGGTTGATCTCTTTGGCGCCCTCCCGAGGACGTGATGCATGATACAAAGGCAGCAAAAGAACAAGTCATTTGGCGAATGAATACCATGTATCCGGAAGGAGCTGGATTATTCCCACACACACACACACACACATCTTACCATGTTAACGTTGTGGATCGGCTGATTATAGGTGGGCTGCATCATTACCAGCTGCTGGAGCACATACTGCTGCTGTTGCATGGGGTGGATAGCCTGGTAATACTGGGGGGAGATACCATAGACGTAAGTAGAGCTCCCCCTTCAGGATACTGGGGGGAGATGCCATAGACATAAAAGTAGAGCTCCCCCTTCAGGACACTTGGTGTTGATTTTGGGGAGGAATTTGCAGACAACACAGGGGTTCACCTGCAGGGGCTGGACATGCTGCTGCAGGGGGTATGAGTGTTGATGCTGCGGTGGATTCAGCTGCAGCTGTTGCAGGTGCTGTGGCTGCTGTAGCCGCAGGTCTGCCGGCATGAAAGACTGCAGGCTTGGACTCGGTTGCCCTCCCTTGTGACAGTGCTGGGCTGCCTTTGTGCTCTCACAGGGTGTCATCACTGCAGCGTAGACAGAAAACAAACCAGGACCACTTCAATATCCAACAGGCATCTCCTAGCTTGCTTGACCCATTTCAATGGAAATTTAAAAAATCCATGAATATAATTAATATTATACAGACAGATGGAGGGAACATTAGACAAGTATGGGTATCATTTCTGGAGGTGAATGGGCATGCTTTGCTAATTCAATACACTTTGCTTTCTTAATCAATACAAATATGTGCCTTTTTGGTCTCTGGCAACTACAGTAAAATGATATTGACTCACATCCTGTTCACTCACTTCCCCAATGCCCTTCCAAGTATGTCTTTGTCCGTCTCGCCATGTTGATGTCTTTGTTTCCCCCCTCATTCGCATCTGCCAGCTCTGCTGTGATGATCTCCCCTCTCCCAAATAAAACCCAATTCCCTGCGGCCGTCCCTGTCTAATGAGGTTCTGCCCTGCTAATCTCGCAAGTATTGCATTCGATATTGAGCAAAATGCATCACAGTCACCTATAAAACTTTGCCTCACATCTAGTTATTTTTATGGCTACAATGAACATCAATAATAAACAGCCCGCCCAGGGAAACACTGTTGGGAAAAACAGCTGAAATGTGCTCCTCCGTCTCACATTCCTGCAAGACCACAGGTTTCTTCTCATGAGGGGAATCACCTTGCAGGAGGCCTCAACGCCCAGCGTAGGGGTGAGGTAACTCCCATATCCAACAGGCAAACCAGAACCGACTTGATGCTGCTACCCTAAACTCTCTCCGGTCTCATACTGCACCTCCCCCAAGACACAGGCAGCCCATGACCAAAACAGCGGTACAAACTCCATCACCTTTCTGCCCAGTGTCTGCTGAAGAAGGAGGTAATGTTACAGGAGCTGTGGCACTCGGGATGGGAAAAACATTGGCATTCACAGCCTTTGGTCTCTGCCTGGGGGCAATAGAGGTTTCTGTAGGTCCAGCTCTTTCAAGCAGTCTGCAACAAAGAGCATGGAATTAGAGATTAACTGTTTTCTATACAGTCCTCAGATATTCCTCAGATCTATTATACTGAAAAATCAAGTCAAATTGATTGTCTCTGCCTGTCATATATGCAGATTGAACTTAATTATCCATCCATCCAACTTGTGTAACTGCTTCTCCGAGTTGCGGGGCATCCGGAGGCTAAAGGTGCAAGACAGGAAACAGCTCAGGATGGAGCGCCAACCCATTGCAGGGCACATTCACTCACACACATTCACTCACACGGCATTCACTCTCTCTCTCTCACACACACACACACACACACACACACGCACACACAATTTGCCATTTGGATTCATTGAATAAATACATGTTTTTGGACTGTGGGAGGAAACCCATGTGAGCACAAAGAGAAGATGCTTCCATTCCATTAAATGGCAACACAATGGCAGGATAGGCATGAAGAGCAGATGCTGCTTAGTCTTTTAGTGTAAAATTCTGTGTGTGGGTGTGTATGTGCTTTGTGATATACTGGCATCCCATCCAGAGTATATCCCAGCCCATGTGCCCTGTGCCGCCTGATTATATACAATGCTCTGAACCAATATCGAGCACAAGTACCAACTTAAATCTCTAACAACAACAACATATAACAGGATGAAAATATCTTTTATCAGGTAGTATAATGTGATTCATAGCCAAGAGTACAATTTTCAACTTCATTTGCCAAAGGATTATAAACTGTGCATTATAATACACTAAGGGTCTTTTTACTACTCTATATAAATCAGAATTATTATTATGAGAACAGAAAGGATATGGCATGTTCCAAATAGTGATGACTATTGTCCAAACCAGGCTTCATCTGCAATATGATTATGGGGCAAAATTCAGATGAG